TCCTGTCAACACCCCGCCCTCTGCCTTCCATTTCCTCTCCTCCCAGCCTCACCTCTGAATCATGAATTCCCCTGCTGGCCCTTCCGTTCTTTCTCCCCTCCATTTACAAGGCTTCAGATAAGACCAGTTTATGAGATCGGCTCTGCAGACCCACAGTAGCTCAGCAGACCATTCTTCTTCTACAGGCAGATGTGGTACAGTGGCTGTGACCCTTTGCAATTAGCCAACCAGTGACCTTGAAAGGTCATCAGCTTCCTGTCATTCATTCAATCAGTAAATATTTTCTGAGTGCACACTGTGTGCCAAGCCCTGTGCTGGGCCCCAAGGAGCCCTCCTTCAAGGAGCTGGCAGTGCAGAAGCCGATGCAGGTGCGTCAACAAGCGGTCACGTACACATCCTGTATGAGGGAGCCGGGAGAGGCTCCAGGGGCCCTGCAGCTGGAGCGCTGTTCTGCTGAACGCCTGCTGGGACCAGGGTCCACAATGCTCTTCTGTAGCTCTTTCCAGAGGTGCAAGCTCTTCCCCTATGGTTTACCCAAGTCTTCAAAAGTCTCAACTTGTTCCCATTACCTGCTAAACTGAGCAACAGTCTTAAAAAAGAGCTGTCACAACATTTGGCAGGTTCTTCGTGCATTTCAAGACAATAATTAGGGCATGCCGCCAGCATTCCACGGAGGCTTTAACTCTGCCGAGCATTTAAAACTACGCTACGAAAGCACTAATTCAAGCACTAGTGGTCCTAGCTGTCACTTACTGAACATGTGTGCAGTGCCAGGCACTTCCCACAGGCCTGCGGAGAGACCTGAAGGCCAGCGGGGCTGAACCGCCGCACCCTGGGTCATTAGCACCTCCTTTGGGCCCACTTCCCCAGATGTCTGTGCACCTAGTGAACTTCCATAATTTCTGCCTGACCTGCACCCATCTCTCCTCTCCTAGAATCATCACTCGCCTTTGTGAGGGACACACCATCTGGGTGCCCACCTCCTTTGGTCAAAACCTAGTGACCCAAACTAGACCCGACTGACATTCTTGCTCCTGACCCCAAATCTGAGCAGCCTGGTGGTCTCGTCAGCCTCCCCGCCGAGTGCTGACGGGGCTTCCCATCAGGCCCCGCGCAGCTCACGTTCACCACAGCTGATTTCTGTCGCTTGCAACCAAAGAACTGTGATCAAAACTGCTGTGCATTACAACCTGGTAGTCTTATCGCTCTTTTGTTCCGGAGAGAGCAAGCCGGTGCTGTCTGGAACTTCACACTGCGCTCGACACTCTGTCGAAGGAGGAGCGGCCTGGGTGCCCGGCGGGTGTGGGCCCTGGGCCGTTCGAGAAAGGACCTGCCTGACAGACAGCAGACGTGCCAAATGAGCGCCTCAGGGCAGCGAGCGTTGGTGAACACTCTTGATTGTAGGTCCGCTGATGGTGCAGGCCGGGACGCCGGCGTGGCAGCCCCGCCTCGCCCGGTGCACTGCCACGCCGCCAAGCCAGGCCTGTTTCCTGTGTCAGCAGGCATGTGGGAGACTATTGAGGAAACACCTTATGAGGAACTGAGCTCAGTGTCACTGGGGAGACGGTGGCAATTAGCCTGATGGAGGCCACGGAGCAGCCCTGCCCCTGGTCAGGGCCAGAAGAAATTGGTAGGAAGGCTTTTAACCGACAGGCCAGCTCAGGCCCTAGTGCGGGGAGAGCCCTGAGCAACGCTGCTGCTCCCTCTCCTCTGACCGGGAAGGTCCCCACCCCTTCTAGTGGTCTTGTGATTGGCTCTCTACACATGCACTTGCTGTGGACGCCTGTCCATTCTACCCGCCCTGATTACAAAGGCGACAGTGACCCGCCCCATTTATTAAGTCAGGCAGGCGTGTGGGTAAGGGCTTACGCTTTGGAGACTGGCGTGTCTGGGAAAAACGGGTGAATAACAGACACTGTCTTTCCCTCTGGGTCTCTTGAGTGAGAGGAAGCTATGAGTGAGGGTGTGAGGGGCCTTATTTTGAAGCAACTCTCACAAAAATCTTATCACTTCTCTCCCCTCCCGTTCCAAATACATCTGATGTGAAGGGAACGGATATGGCCTGTAAGCTGGGAGAACCATTTCCTGCTCTACAAGAGTTTACTGTGTGACCTCAGAAAAATTCCTTTGCCTTTCTGAGCTTTGGTTTTCTCAACTATAAAATGAGGCAATTAGCAGATGATCCCTGAGTTAGTCCAGATCCTCTAAGTAGCAGATACAAAGAGGGGATTGAATGTGCAAGGATGTTATGAGGAGAAATGCCTGGGAGAGAAAACACGGAGGAAGCTGAGCAAGGCGGGGAGACCCTCAGACCACAGTGCAAGTCTGACTCTGAGTCAAGAAGAGAGAGAATGGAGGTTAAGTGGAAGCATCTCAGACTGCCCTAAATCTAAGGAAGGTTCAGCAAGCCCATCAGGGAGTCCTTGGGCCAAAGGCAGCTGTCAGGGGAGTCCAGGGTCTCCTAGGAATAGATCTGCCTTAGCGCCTTTGCCGTCCTCTGTCATCTGGGAGCTGCCCGTGCGTAAACGCAGCGACGGATGTCAGAGCAAGCAGCTGGGGCCTCCTGCACTTGAAAATCTGCAAGGGGCATTCTTTTGGCCACGATAATCTCTAAGCACCCTGTATGCCCTGATACCAGCGTTCTAAGAACCCTGGAGATAGGCCAGCAGACCAAGACCCAAGTCAGCCTGGGGGTCTGGCTGGGCGCTGCCCGGCGGGCTGACCTCCTGACGCGCCTGTGCATAGCAGCTGCACTGGGGCACGCCCTCATGGCCAAGTTGGCAGGATGTTTGTGTTCACCTGACACGCTGGGATCAAATGCTTCCTGCCTCTCCTATTTCTGGCCTTGCTTTGGTCTTCAGAGAGGGCAGTGGAGGGCTCCAGTTCCCTGCTGTCGCTGTTGTTTGAAGGAAAGCCAAACCAAAGACGCCCTCCACCGCTCACGCCTGACCCGCCTTTCCTGGAGCCTCCGTGCACAGCCACATGCCGGAAGCGGCGCGCCTTGGAGTTCGGGACATGTCTGGGCTCAGAATAACCCGGATCTGAGCTTCTGTCCCGCCACTTCCCGGCTGTGTAACCTGGGCAAAGGACCACCTTGGTGAGCCTCGGCATTCTCAGCTACAGAAGGGGGATGCTGGTACCTACCTCTCAGGGTCACTGTGAGGATTAAATAAGAGGAGGCACACAGCATGTGCTCAAGAAACGACTGTGATTAGTGGTGGCACGACTGGACACCTACAGTCAGCACCGCCGCTGTGGCCTTCAATTTCATCTTCTGGTGAGAGACCCCAGGGTCTCAGAAATTTCTCCCGTCCTCTCAAGAAGCATACAGACTAGGACAAGAACTCGTGGAAAGCTACACTGAGATCAGCAGCGAGGCTGTGCGGCTGGCTTGGGGAAGTCCGTCACTATCAGAGCTGTCTCGTTCCTTTCAAGACTTCTGCAGGACTTCCCTTTCCTGTCTGTACAGCGGGTCTCCTGGGTCCACGGACAATGTCTTAGACCCAACACCGTAATGCGTGGAGATGGTGCTCCTGGCACGATGGCAGTCCATCCCAAGCACTGACAGAGCTGCAGAGAGCAGAGCCGGTTGGGAGGGAGGGTGCACAAAACAGGAGGAAGAGGCGGGCTGCCAAGGCCAGGTGATAAAGGGCCCCGTGAATCATATTAAGGAATTAGACTTCATCTTGAGGGCCACCGGGGTGTCCCTGATGGGCTGCACGTTGGAGAGCAATGTAGTCAGATCCGTCTGCTGGCTCCAGAGCAACTTACCCAGGTACCCCTTCCCTGGGGAAGGCCCGTCCCCCGGAGAGGAAAGTACGAAGAGAAGCAAGCGGAACTGCACCACCCCTTAGAAGCACGGCCTGCTCAAACTTCCCGGACCTGCCGCCACCGCCACTCCACAGGACAAAGGCCCTGCGGCCAGCGGGGGAGGAGCCTCGCCGATTGTTCACAGTCCCCTTCCCAAGGGGCCAGGCGCTGACGTGTTTTCTCTCGATAGCACTGGCTCCTTCTGAGCAATAGGGCTTCCTGTCTGATCGGAGGGCAATTCCCGCACCTCCAAAGAAAATGCTTTAAACAAACCCAGTTTTAGCCCTCCGTGATAACAGAGGCCCCGAGTTTGAGGAAGAGTGGGCACTTAGGACCCCAGTAACCAGAATGGGGTTTCCAGGTCTGTTGGGTAAAAGATTCCAGTGGCCAAAGGAGACCTTCCCCCAGGCGATCTGGGCCCCCACCCCAGCCTGGGCCTGGAGCATCTGGCTTTCCTGCTCCCCAGCCCCTGGCATCTGGGGCCAGGGGCCTGCGAAGAACAAGGCCCAGGTCTGGTCTAGGGGGACAAGCCCAACTGCTCAGGGCAAACGTGGCACCCCTTGGTCTGTTTACGTTAGGGGTCTTGAGAAAATCTGAATGAAGACAAATTGTCACTCAACAGCCATCAGTAAAAACTGCATTTTTTCCCATCTTGGGAGAATTTAAAAGCTGAAAATTCCGCCCCTAAATGAGCATCCCTCCCAGAGACCATTCGTGTCTTAACTGTGTCCTTTCCAGCGTCTGCTGGCACATCCTCACTCCTTGCTGGCTATTTTAAGATGGAGAGAAGGATAAGAAGTGGGCAGTTGTACTAATTAGCACTTACATGGCGCTCACAATGTGCCAGCTGCTGCTCTAAGCACTTTACACACACTTAGTCAGGTAATTCTCCCAACTACCCTATGAAATAGCTACTATTATTATTCCCATTTTTGAATGAGATAGCTGGGGCACAGAGAAGTTGAGAAACTTTCCAAAGGTCACACAGCTGATACACGGCAGGGCCAGACTCTGAACCCAGGCAGTCCAGCCTGCAGGTTCTGTGCTTGTAACCACTATGCAAAGTACCTCTCAAAACTGTCATCATCTCCCCAAATCCCTGGCCTTCTCCTGTGTCTAACCCTGTCTCCATCCTTAGTTCTGCCCGGAGGTTCCCTGAGGGCAGGAATAGTAATCTTATTCATCCTTACCTCTGTGGCACTCAGCACCTAATTGATGCTCAAAAGATTTGTTGCATGAAGATTAGGATGTACTGAGCCGTGACCAGAGGGCCTTCGCCTCCAAGGCTTCCTGAGCCCGTTGCTACTCTCCTCTGCTGTCGTCACTCGTCATGTGCTCATGACTGTCCTCACGGGTGGACAGTCTGTCCTGGGGGCACTGTGAGGTCCTCTGGTCTTCCTTACAGGAAGCTCCTCCAAAGCAGGTGCCAGGCTGTGTCATTTTCTGGTGTTTTATCCACTTTCCTCCATACTAGGTGTGGTGGCCAAATAATGGCTCCCTCCAAACGTCCAGATTCTCATCCCCAGAACCCGGGGCTATGTTACGTCATACAGCGAGGGGGAATCAAGTTTACAGATGGAATTAAGGTTCTAATTAGCTGACCTGGAGATGGGGAGGGTATTCTGGGCGACCCAGGTGGGCCCAGCGCAATCACAAGCCCTTCTAGTGAGAGTCGGAGCCAAGTCTGAAGATGCTGCGCTGCCGGCTTTAAAGATGGAGGGAGGGGAGCGCCCGCCAGGGAATTCAGGCAGCCTCTAGGCTCCCTCCAGAGCCTCTGGAAGCAGTGCAGCCATTTCAGGCTTCTGACCTCCAGAAGGGAAAGATAACGCACTGGTGTTGTTTTCAGCTATTAACCTCGTGGTGCTTTGTTACAGCAGCCACGAGAAACAAACGCACCGGGACTGAGCACGCAGTGGTGGACACCACAGCCGTGGTGTCCGCCCTTCGGGGCTCGCTGGACGCGGCCCGGTCTGGGGCCCTGGGTCTGGCTGGCAGCCGCTCAGCACCTCGGGTCCCAGCAGCGTTTCTGGGGCCGTGGGAGCGCCGTCCTTTCCGGAGCCCAGAGCCTGCGGCTGGTGCTGGCCGCTCTCCTCGGCCTTCGCGGCTCGCCGACTGCGGCTGCCACTGATGGGGCATCTCCGTCAGGGACCACGCGCAGTGTTCTGCATGCGCCCCAAATCGCATCCTGACCGCAGCGCTCCGAGAGAGGTATTTTCATCCCCATTGCCCAGATGAACAAACTGAGCTCTGAGAGGAGAAGAGACCGTCCTAAGAGCGCACGGCGAGGAAGCTGCTGGCGTGGACCCAGGAGCCGGGCTCCGGGGCGCGGGCGCTGCGGCCACGTGCGCGGGGCGCCCGGCGGGAGGGGCGCGGGCAGCTCGGAGGGGGGGCTCTGGCCCCCTGGCCGGCCGGCCTCCCCAGCCTCCCCCACTGCGGGGGCTGCGTGTCCACGTGAGGGCCGCTGGGTCCGGCCTTCAGTGGCCTGTTGCTTTGGGGGCCGAGGGAGAGGGGAGGCGTTCTTAGCGACAACGACAGCAATAATAATGACAGCTGGTATTTGTTAGGTGCTTACAAACATTAAAGTAATCCCATTTAACCCTCACAATGATCATTTGGGGTAGATTCTCTAATCATCACCACTTTACAAATGGGGAAACTGAGGCTCAAAAGGAGGACTTCCCAAGGTCACACAAGCCAGTGAACATCAAGCCTGGTCTTCCCGTTTCCAAGGCAGGAGTGGGGGACACACAATTGAGATCATCAGCAAGGGTTCCTGTGGTCATTACCTAAAAAAGAAACGTGGGGAGGGGCGGCCTCTGCCTGCCCCCCCTTCCTCCCCCGTTCCTCCGAGCGCCCTGCTCCGACGGGGCTCCGGTGCCCCTGCTGGGGAAGCTGGCTGTGGGGCGCTGGCTCTCTGGGCAGCAAAGGGTGTGTGTCTGTGGGGCGAGCCGCACTATCGCACTCAAGCGAGTGGGGAGGAAGTGACTCAGTCATCAAAGGCCTGGTCTTCCTCGGGGAACCGTCCCTAATCACAATTAGCCCGCTACAATAATACCATTTCAGAGAGACTGTTAGCCGGGGCACGGTGTGGCCATGTAAACTGCTTCCTGTATCTGCCAACCCCAACAGCATTCGGCAATTAATCGACTCCAGCGAGGCCTCCCGCTCCGATAAGGCCGGCAGCGCCGCTGGCTGTCGTTCCCGCGAGGAGTCCTCCTGCCGCGGTCACTCTGTCCTCCCCGGCGGCCCGGGGGCCGGGAGGCGGAGCGCCGCGCACGTTCTGCTTGGTTTTGACATTTCCTGGAGATGGAAATTATTTTCGTTCTCCTGCTAAACAAAAGTCATGACTATCCAGGGCCCCCCAGGACCCTGGTGGAGACTTGATGACTTGGGGTTGAGCAGGACCCCCTGCAGCCTAGAACAGGGCCGTGCAGACAAGGAGGCGTTTCCTAAGGCAGTGCAGGGGAAGAAGTTAGAGGAACTTAATATGGTCTGACCTCTAGATCATACCAGGGCGCGGGGATTTTAAGAGCCTCAGATCGCTATAAAAAATGACTTTGCAGGGCATAGAGAAATGCCTTAGGAATGCCCTAGCCCCACATAAATTCTTTGTGCTTCTGAGGATGCACTCGGGAGGCAAAGTTTCACAGTTCCAGGGCCTCCTTGGATCTCTGAGTGCTGGTGGTTTGACAAATGACGGCACCGAGGCCCTGCTGCCCAGAGCGCCCCCCCTCCGTGCAGCGGGTGGGAGCGTGGTAGACGCCTGGGAGGCAGGCTGTGCGGCCCCTGTGGAGACAGTGGAGCTTCCTCCAAAAGCTGAAAATAGAACTACCCTGGATCCAGCAATTCCACTTCTGGGCATTTATCTGAAGGAAATGAAAACACAAACTGGAAAAGATATATGCACCCCTCCACCCCCTCAAACCCCTCCCACCGCCTCACCCTGTTCACTGCAGCCTTGTTCACAAGACCCAAGCAACCTAAGTGCCCATTGATGGATAAATGGATAAAGAAATGTACATGTATATATATATATATATATATATATATGTATATACACAATGGACTATTATTCAGTCATAAAAAAGGGAAATCTTGCCATTTGTGACAATGTGTATGGACCTCAAGGGCATTATGCTGAGGTGAGTCAGAGAAAGACAAACACTGGACGATATGACTTATATGTGCAATCTAAAACAAACAAACAAAATACAAAAAAAAAAAAACCCCAAACGCATAGATACAGACAACAGATTGATGGTTGTCAGAGGTAGGGCAGGGGGAGGTGGGTGAAATGGGTGAACGTGGTCAAAAGTTACAAGCTTCTAGTTATCAAATAAATAAGTCCTGGAGATGTAATGCACGGCTTGGCAATTCGAGGTTCTAACACTGGATCATATGTTTGAAAGTTGCTAAGAGAGTACATGTTAAAAGCACTCATCACAAGAAAAAACATTTTGTGTGGTGTGGTGATGGATGTCAACTGGACTTATTGCGGTGATCATTTTGTAATATACACAAATATTAAATCGTTATATTGTATACCTGAAACTAATACAATGTTATATGTCAGTTACACCTCAATAAAAAAAGGAAAAAGAATAAACCACAGCTCTTCCCAGTTTTCTGTTTTCTTTTTGGTGACGAGCGCCCTCGTTTCTTGTCAGTGGGCGGGGGACACTCATTTCCTCGCAAAGGATCAGGCGCCTACATTCTCTGGGGAAAAGGTGACTAATTGGTTTGACTCGTTTTAGACCCTTAAGCCAAATTCCCACCAAGTGAGAAGTCATGGCTGGTCAAGTGGAAGGTGTGAGCTGACTCTCTTCTCAAGGGAGTGACTTCACACCTTGCTTGCTCTGCTCCTCCCAAGAACGATGCAAATGAAGGCAGAGGCCTTTCTGCCTGAGCAAGGCCCTAAGAAGCTCTGGGGAGGAGGGAGTGAGGCCAGAGGATGTGGGTGTTTTAAAATTGGCTCTCATTTTGCAGCAAGACTCTCTCTCTATCTCTCTGTCTCTCTCTCCCTCTCTCTCTCCCTCTCTTGGTGATTTGCAAATTGTACTCAAATGCAGTAATTTGCCCCAATTAGGGCATTTTGTGGTGTTAGAGTTGAGGTTCATTCTGATGAACTTCTTGGGAGGGAGAAATCTCTTTTTTATGCTCTAACAGAAAGGCGTGGGGAGAGAGAGGAGGCAGAGTGAGGAAGGTCCTATGGCAGGATGGGTAATACGTTGGCTGTCAGGATTTGAGTCCCAGCTCTGCATTTCCTAGCTGTGCATCCTTGGGCAAATTGCTTAACATCCCTGTTTCAGTCTCCTTGTCTCTAACAGGGTGATAATTACAGGACTCAAGGCCCAAGACTGTTGTGAGGATTAAGTGACCAGGCACACAAATTCGTTAGTTCAGCCCTTGGGGCACACAGGCGCTCAGTACACGCGTATGGAGATACTGATGGCTTTTCAGTTTTTTGTCACTTTAGGTTATCCCTCTGCTCCGCTCTCAGCGTGCAGACTTTCCTCGGGACAGCAGGCCGGTGAAACACCCCTCATTACATGGTAGAAAGGACTGTGTGACCCTGCCCGGGCCAGTCGTGGACACCTCCAGGAACAGAGGACTCATGACCCGACTAGGCGGCCCATTTCATTTTCAGAAAGTTCTGGTCGATGGACTCTCATAGAGTCAAAGGCTGTCTCTCTGGGGCCATCACTTGGTTCTCGCTGTGCTCTTCAGAACCGTAGGAAATTACGTCTGATCTTTGTTCTGTGTGGGAACTCTTCAAACACTTCAAGAGGGTTGGCACACCCCTTCTGAGAGGTCTCCACCCAGAAGGCTCGAGAGTCTTTTGTGAGGCTGGTCACTCTCATTGGAACCTGTCCCCCACTCGTCACTTTCTCTCTGTAGGGAGGGTGAGATCCAAGAAACCAGGAGACTCATTCAGTTAGCAGGAAATGTGTCTTTTGTTTTGAAGGGACCCTCTACACCTACGGAGTCGTGTCTTTTGTTTTGAAGAGGACTCTCCACACCTATGGGCCCACAACGGTTGGAGGGGCTAACTGATGCGTGGCACTTCTGGACACCAAGTGCCCCACGACGTCCCGTGGCTGTTGGAGCATTTCCTTCACCAGAAGTGCTGGAAGTAGCTTTAATGGAAAGGTGACAGGGCCCCTCAGAAGTGAGGCTGGGGCTCAGCCTCCCCAAGGCCAGGCAGCAGGTTGCGCCAGATAACAACTGGAGAGCGGCATCAAGGAGCCACAGGAAGCCCAGCACTGATGTCTGGGGGACACGTTGTGCGAGCATCTGGGATCTGGGGAAGGGACACTACAGTCTTTGATGCACTTGATTGGGGCCCAGGAGCCCTCCCCCTCCCTCCTTTCCATGCAACAGTTAGCGGCTTCGGAAGATAATACTCGGTCTCAACTCGGTCAGTTCAAAGTGGGTGGCTGACTTTGACTTTCTCGTTAGCTGCTCCCTAATGAGGATTTCTCTCTGAATCCCTTGGCCCAAGGTCATATTGAACGATCGTTACTATTACGCACATTTCAGCCTTAAGTCACTTTGTCCAGTGTTTTGCATTGTCTGGGAAAAACTCACTGTTTGCCTTTATTCTCACACTAATACCACACTTACAGCACTTCTGACACCAGACATGTGGGTTTATTCCCACAGCAACCAATTCTCTGACACCAGCCAGGAGTCCTACAATTCAATTCAATTCTGACACTGTCTGCCTGGAGTTAGTGTCAAGTCCCACAAGTTAGGGACTCAGTCCTACAAGACTGTCCCCACTTCAGACGCTGGTCACCAAGTCCCATGTTGTCCCTGGTACTTATGACTGACTGGCTATAAGTTGGGGTTCCCAGACTCCCTCTTCAGGTTTGATAATCTGCAAGAACGGCTCACAGAACTCAAGGAAACACTTATGTTTACTGGTTTATTATATAATAAAGAATATGATAAAGGATACAGAGGAATAGCCAGATGAAGAGATACATAAAGCAAGGTCTGGAAGGGTCCTGAGCACAAGAGCTGCTGTCACTGTGGAGCTCAGGTGCGCCACCCTCCCTGTCCGTGGATGTGTTCAGAGCCTGAAAGCTCTTTGAACCCTGTATTTTTGGGATTTTTACGGAGGCTTCATCCTGTAGGCATGATGGATCATTAGCTCAATCTCCAGCCAGACTCTTCCTGGAGGACGGGGGATGAGGCTGAAAGTTACAAGCTTCTAATCATGGATTGGTCTTGCTGGTGACCAGCCCCCATCAAGGAGCCCATCAAGAGTCGCCCTAGTAGAACAGAAGACATTCCTATAACCCTGGCGCTCCTAGGGACTTAGGAGCTTTGTGTCAGAAACTGGGATCAAAGAGCAAATATTAGAACAAAAGGTGCTCCTAGTGCTCTTATCCCTTAGAAAATTACAAGGGTTTTAGGAGCTCTGTGTTAGGAACCAGGGGCAGAGACCCATGTATATAGAGTCTATTATTTCACATGCATCCTGGGCCCTTAGAAAGCATCCGCCCATTCATCCATCCGTCCATTCATCCGTCCATCCATCCATCCGTCCATCCATCCATCCGTCCATTCATGCATCCATCCATCCATCCATCCATCTGTCCATCCATCCATCCGTCCATTCATCCATCCGTACATTCATCCATCCATCATCCATCCATCCATCCATCCGTCCATTCATCCATCCGCCCATTCATCCATCCGTCCATTCATCCATCCATCCATCTATCCGTCCATCCATCCATCCGTCCATTCATGCATCTGTCCATCCATCCATCTATCCATCCATCCATCCATCCATCCATTCATCCATCCATCTATCCATCTATCCATCCATCCATCCATCCATCCATGCATCCATCCATCCATCCATCCATCCATCCATCCATCCGTCCATTCATCCATCCATCCATTCATCCATCCATCCATCCATCCGTCCATCCATCCATCCATCCATTCATGCATCCATCCATCCATCCATCCATCCATCCATCCATCTATCCATCCATCCATTCATCCATCCGTCCATTCATCCGTCCATTCATCCATCCACTCAACAACCTGTTTCTGAGTTCCAGTTGTGTGCCAAGCACCTTGGTAGGCATGGAGTTATAATGGTGAGCAAAACCAGACAGGTTCCTCCCTGGCAGAGCTTAAGGTCTAAGTGGCAGAGACAGATATCAATTAAATAATTATTCAAATGTACACAGAACAACAAACCAATTGAAATGCCATAAAGAAAAGAAGCTGAGTTCTGAAGGAGCTACTCATGAAGGATCTCGTCTAGGACTGTGGGTATCAGAGGAGGCCTCACTGAGAACGTCCCAAGGACAGCATGTGTGTCTGGTTTACTCTCCACCCTCAACGCTTCCCAGGGGCCCAGCACAGTCCTCAGCACATAGTAGGTGCTTCATAAATATTTGTGGATGCAGGAGTGTATCTATGAGCTGACTGTATTGCCCTTGATTAAAGTAATAAACTGAGTGGAGTGTGATATCTGTGTAGTTCTGTAGAGTTTATAGAATGCTTTCACGTGTGTAAGTTTTTGATCCTTGAACACCCTTGGGTAACGGAGAAGGTGGGTATCATTCTCCATGTCTGATGGGTGACAGCACTGCCCGTTCACATCAGCTGGGAGAAGAACGGTGGGGAAAGCTCGTTCCCAGGTCCCACGTCCTGGGTCAGGCTCTGCCCCTTGTCAGCTGTGAGGAGCCTGTGAAGAAACGCGGAGGACAATGTCTTTGCTATATTAGTCCCTGGCCTGGTGCCCTCCTGAACTGAGGTTCACACTGGGGGTCTCAAAGGGATGACTACTTGGGGCTTTCTTAAGGGCCTGTGAGAACAGGGCTTGCTGTGGCCCAGGTGAATAAATTCTGAACCAACGTCAGCTTCCCAGGAAGAGGGATGTAGGGTCTTCAACTCACTGCAAAAATCTCTTTAAACTCAACAATTCAACAAATATTTTTTCTATGTTTA